ATCACAGAAACGATTACTAACTGGGGGGAGGAGGAAACATCTTCTTTAGACTTACCACATATTTTCTTCATCAAGCCATGTCATGGAGCCTGACTTACCAGTGTTACAGAGGGTGGGTGGGCTGGTGGAGCAGTCTATAATCAAGTCACACTGTGTACCCTCTGAGACAGCCTTACAAAGAGAAGCTGTGGTGGTATCTTGCTGGGACAGACCCTGCAAACTGGCTGCTTTAATGAACCTGGTACAACACAGTACAGGAAACATTTGACAGCTGACAAACAGATGGCTGTTATACTGTTCTACATGGGAGTATACCACAGGCAGACACATGTAGGATTTAAAGATAGTGTATTTACAGGCACTGACACTGAACTCACCTGGACACATCAGCCTTTGACCTCTCATCTGATTTGATGACCTCCACATGTGTTTGACTCAGAGCCTGTGCAGAGAAAGCTTAGTGGCTTACAGGCAGAAGGTAAGTGATAATAAAATAAATCAACCAAATGTTAGTATTTTAATACATAAGGTAAATAAAAATATGAAGGCATAGCTCACCCAAAAAACTACTAGTGATGGGTCAGGCAACACCGACGCGTCGAGCTCGTAGAGCAAAACCCCGTGTCGGTGCGCGTATCGCTTTAAGAAAGATACCATCCAGGAGGTGCAGAGATACCTGGCAGAGGGCAATATTGCCAGGTCCCAGGATCTTATGAGATACTGGGACAACCAAAAGGCAATCTATCCAAACCTCTTCCGACTTGCCTTACAATTTCTCTGCACTCCAGCCTCATCTGTGCCATGTGAGCGGGTGTTTTCTACAGCTGGAGAAGTTGTATCAAAAAAGCGTAACAGACTCAATGTCAAAACGTTGGAAAAACTTATTTTTTGAATAAAAATTTGTAAAAAAAAATCCCAGTCCACAAGCATCCTCATTCACAACACGTTCATTTAGATTTTCACGTTATGATACATGTTCACATTATTTATTGACTGTATCTAAAAATATCAAGGAAATTTTAAATTTAAATGAAGATATGAAATAATACAATATAAAATACAATGACTTAAATTATATTATTGTATTTACTAGGTCATCAAATCAGCGTCAGTTGAGTCTGTCAACTAGGTTGCCTGTAGGGATTTTTAAGGTCCAGCAGGTGTCAGTATTCAGTGACACAGTATCAATACAGTTTGGCAATGTGTCGAAACGCTTCATGACGCCTCATCTACCCATCACTAGTCATGACGCCTCATCTACCCATCACTAAACTGTACTAACTTTTCCTCTGACCGTGGCCGCTATCTATGCATCCAGATAGTTTTGGTGTAATGTACTGTGGGTACTTCTCACTGCATTCCAATTAAGACATATTTTATTAGTTTGAGTACTTCAAACCAAAAAAACAGTGAACTCCAGTCCAAGTCCAAACCTTCACAAGTTAGCTTTTAGCTATTTGGGTCAACTGTTCCTTTAAGGTGATTCTTCTGTCCTAATTTATCTTCCTTTTTAAAGGATAGTCACCTTTATTTGGCCAAGTATGTTACACACAAGGAATTTGTTTCTGGTACAAAACCGAGGCAGCCATTTGCAGCGCCAACTCAACTGATGGTTCTAACCATCAGGGGAAACTTGGGGGTTCAGTGTCTTGCCCAAGGACACTGACATGTGGAAGTGCAGGCACCGCGATTTGAACCTCTAACCCTCTGGTTGGGAGATAATCGCTCTACCCACTGAACCACAGTCGCCCAATTTATTACATAAGATATTTACCAAGCAAAACCTTACACATCTCACAATCATTATTTAAAGCTACAGCATGTGACCTAAGGTAGCACTAGCAAATCAACCCACTCTGCTCTGCCCAGCACTCCCTCTCCCTGCTCCACTAAGTTTTGGAGCGTATTTCTAAAAGCAAAAATATTTGAAAAAATGAGTGGCTGTGGCTCAGGAGGTAGAGCGGGTCATTTCCTAACCCGAGGATTAGCGGTTCGATTCCCGGCTTGTCCAGTCAACATGTTGAGGTGTCCTTGAGCAAGACACTGAACCCCCAGTTGCTCCCGGTGATGTCACCGGTGTGTGAATGTGTGAGTGCTTGAATGGGTGAATGGCCGAATAATGTGAAAGCACTTTGAGTGTGCTGTAAAAGCATAGAAAGGCCCTATACAAGTATAAGACCATTTACATACTGTAGCTTTCATGTGTCTTAGTCCCAGTGCCATCAACAAGCGTTTCATACTCTAGTGGTGAGAAATGACTCACAGCATGTAGCAAGAAGCTGATGTTGCTCTGGACCAGTTGCACCACCCGATAAATGTGCATCACAGACTCCTCATACCACCGGCTCAGATAGGGACGCACATCTGTCTCAAGGTTTTGCAGCTGAAACCCACAGAGGGACAAATCAATCTTATTTCAAAATATGACAGATATACAATGTTGTTGCATTTGCTATGTTCTCATACCTCTGGGGTTTGCAGGCTGCTATGCAGGCCTTGGACATATTTATCAAGCTCTAATCTAAATGTTTGCTGAGTCAAGGAATTAGAACGGTTGCTAACGTCTCTGTGCAAAGAAACAATAATGTGCACAACAGTGCATGAAAGAACATTTTGCAGTAGCAAGGATTATGTATGCAATTAATGCTGGAGATCCGGGGTGATGGTTTATTTAATGAGGACACAATGCAAAAGGATATAAGTTGAGTCCTTTTTCAGAGCCTCCCATAAAGCAGATTACATAACCATTTCCATCGGCATCAGGCTGTTCGGGAGACCTTTCCTGCTCCAAGAGACAGCAGTAACAGCCAACTGCCTGCTCTGGGATACTGGGAAGATCAACACACTTACTGGATTTGTCCACTTCTTGATAAAAAAGTAATGAGTGTTAATGATGAAATATTTATAGCTATTACCTGAGTTCCACAGTAGCAATGTTACCCATGCCTCCTAGCAGGGCTCCTTTGCTCAGCCTCCTTGAAATGTAGGTCCGCAGTTCAGGTTCTGCCTCCGATGGCAGGCTGCTGTCGATCAGTGTCAGGCTATGGGCAGAGCAGAGAGTCAGTATGGAAAAAGGCCAGCAGTGATGGTGAGGAGATATTTGGAAGCCAGTTAAGTTAATGGAGAGGACATGGAGAAAGCTGGTGACCATAAGCCATAGCCAACACAACTGAGTCACATATCTGGAAATGGAATCTGGAATCTCCACTTGACTGAGACTGGGAGAGACCTAAAGTTTATGTAACTCAGCAGCATTGCAATGATCAATCACAACAAAATCACAAATGAAAACAGCACTGATACCGTGTTGATTTCTGGTGGTAGCCCATGGACACACCAATGCACAACATTGAAAGCCAAAGAGAAACAACCACTGAAAGCAATGAGCAGATGCGTGGATGCCTCCTTTGTCACCTAAAGTCTTCCTGACTGGTTGTGGAGTCAGCTCGTCTCTGGTTCCATGCCATATTTTCTCCAGTAGCCTCAGATCTAAGACAATTGACAGTTTACTCATCACCTGGTTAGTTTTTTTATGCACAAATCTGATTTTACCTGCTGTCAGCAGATTCACAAACAGATGACCACAACAAACTAAAGGGGGCTTACGAATCACAGACTGCAATAATTCAAACAGTGATATAGAGTAAAAACATGTTACACTCCAGGGATTTTTCCCAGTTGTATTCATCAAGAAAAAGAAAGAAAAAAAAGCAGTTTCATTTCTTGTGGGATGGGGGGCACCCACTCTAAACAATAACAAATATTGATAATTTAATCACTTTAAAAATTACACTGAAAATAACAGTGACGTTACTTCTTACACAAACATCGCACTGTGAACGTAAGGCTCCCTACAAACGGTCCATTATTTTTATTAGACAGAAGGTTGTATCAGAGTTGTCCAAAACAAAATAGTTGGCAGGTAATATAGGCCATTACCTTGTGCCTTGATAAAGATAGATGGTGTAGTAGCAGTTCAGCTGACTTTTCTGGCTGTATCCAGCAATTTCTTCACTGTCAAAGTCATCTCTCTCTTCCACGTCAATTGAATCTTGGAAGGACGAGGTTTGGGAAGTAAACATTACAATTGCTGCAGGGAACACGCTAGCAGCCGGCTAAAATGGTAGCTAGAAAATAGGTATTTTAGTTGTTTAGCTGTGGTATTATTGTAGAGAAGTATTACTAACGGTGGAATGTCCTATGAGCTAATTATTAAAGATGTGTAAAGATATCACTTTCTCGCTTATGTCAACTGCGCATGTCCATTGGGTACGTTTTAAAATGTGTCCGACTATGTATGAATTTCTCATTTCTATTCCGGGGGCAAACGTTCCTCAACTTAGGTTAAACATTTAGGCTCAAAATGTTTTCACGGATCTTCTGATCATAAGAATAATAACAACAAAAAATAAGAGCTTTGTATTACCGTAGAAAAACACGCCATGTAGGACGTCTATTGGAAGTGCGGAATGGCCTGGAGGCAAATATCTAGAAACATTGTGAGAGAAATGTATTCTAAGTTGCTTCCACACATTCTATCCAGCAAAATGCTAACGTTACCCCTACACACTGCAAAGAGCACAATTTGAGCAGTAGTTTTTGACCTCTAGAGGACACGTTGGGGTTGTAATGATTTCAGTTTTAATTTATTTATTATTTATTTGTTTGTGTATTTATTGAACAAAGATGTGTACAACAGCTTAACCACATAAAAGATTTTACAAGTGCAAACCTCAAGTTGAGCAGTAAAGGGAAATAGAAGATAACTAGAGGGAGAAATGGTGGGGTTTAGTAAAAAAAAACCCAGTAACAGTAGATTATTAAGAACAAAGGCCAGACTTTTATCACTGACAAACAAGCCAAACATGACATTTTCCACTGCTGAAGGGTGGAGGCTCTTTCACCTGTAGCCAGCTCTGCAGATCCCTCCAGAAATAATTCACATCGTCACAATAGATAAGCAAAAGATCCAAAATTTCAATATTTTTTTTTCACAGAAATTATGATTTACATCAAAATTAAATTTAATTCCTAAGAATTTGTTGGTTTGTATATCTCATTTAAATTCCTGCTAAATGGAGGCACCGCCATTTGTTTTGATTTAAATTAAGAGTTACAAGAGATATTTAGTCACAGGTACAACGGTCAGCCATATTTACCAAAGAACCCCAGGGCCCCACCCAGAGTACGTCAACACCCTTTATTAATATGTCTTATTCTACAAAAGTTAAGCTACATGGGTAGGGTGCTACAGACATGTTTAATGACTCTGTGCATCATTGTTTTCACCCCCATACATTATTAACTCATTCTCAAGAAGAACAAGGAACCAGAACAATGTAATAAAGAGAGACAGAAAAGTTTTTTTTATATTTAGGGTGTTTTTTTATTCAGTTTTTATCTTTCCCATGACGTTATCCCTCTCTCCCACAGCGTCCATTACAATTACATGCAAATGAAATATTATGAAAATTAGGGGAATGGCGTCATTTAGCGACTTCTAGGACAGCCAATAGCTACTTTCCTTACTGAGGCGTTGGCAACACGTCAGTTAGCAAGCTTTAGCTGTTGTTTTACTGGGTTAGCCGGTGGTGAATTGACAGTAAAAAAAAAACAAAAACATGGGAAGAAAGAAGAAAAAGCAAATGAAACCTTGGTGTTGGTATCCTTTTCCATATCTTCCATTTATTGTAACGATATCTTGCTCTTATTAAGTCTTTGTCTTTGGTTGCCAGCGTTGTCCTCTGGTTACGAAGCTAACGTTAGCCTCTGAAGCGACTGATTTTGAATTTGTTTTCGGGAACTTTACTAAAGTTTAAATTCCAGGTCTGAGGCAAATAATGTTACAATATCTGGATATTAAAAACGGACGACGCTGGTCTGTGATGTGTTGTTGTTACCAGCTATCGATATACTGTATGTTTTGGGTTATTTCTAGCTATAGAATAATATTTCAGCTGTCTGGTTTAATAGCAACTCAGCGTTTACCTAAACCGTAATCAAATGTCAGGTACTGTAACAGAGACTTTGATGACGAAAAGATTCTCATTCAACATCAAAAGGCGAAACATTTCAAGTGCCACATCTGTCATAAAAAGCTGTACACTGGCCCTGGGCTCGCAATCCATTGCATGCAGGTGAGAAAACGCATCACACCACCCTCATAAAACCTGACAAGCAGTTTTTAATTATTAAAATTACATTGCTTCTATCATAGGTACATAAAGAGACAATTGATGGAGTTCCTAATGCAATACCTGGAAGGACAGATATTGAACTGGAGATATATGGCATGGAAGGTATTCCAGAGAAAGATATGGAAGAGAGAAGAAGAGTGCTAGAACAGAAGAACCAAGGTACTGGCACCTTAATGTAACTTCAATGTGTCATCCTGTTATGGTTTGTTTTAGAGACTGATTCTGCTCTTCCTGTTTCAGAGACTCAGAAGAGAAAGCAGAATCAGGATGACTCTGATGAGTATGATGATGACGATGATGATGATGAGCCTGGTCCCTCCTTTCAGCAGCCTGCTGCAGACCAGCCTCAGGCAGGCTATATCACCCCTGTGACCCAGCCTGGCATGGCTCCTCGCTCCGGTACTACAGGTATACCACCAGGCAGTTACTCAGGTGGGAAACAGTTCCTTTACTTGAATTTCCATAAGCCAGCCACTGAGCTAATCCCAGATAACTCTGTACTGGTGTCATGCTGTTTACCAAAGGTGATCACACAGCTGTTCCATTCATATTTATGTACAACATTGGCATTTTCTTCCAGTATGTCATCTAAAGCTGTGCTTTTTTGGTGTGTAAATAATAATAAGCCATTTAAATTTGCAGTTTATTCAGTCACGTATTGAAGTAATTTTAAAATAGGAATATCAAACAATACACCAGCTCTACCATAAATTGTACCTTTACAAAGATAATGATCAGTAGATGTGGGAATCTTAAGAAAACTCACCATTTGATTCAACTCGGAATCAATTCTCGATTTTTAATTCAAAACAAATGGATTCAATAAAAAACATAAAAGCAGAAAAAGGACACTATACTTTGGCTCTTACTCCAGTGTACTCAGTGCCCATTGAGCTGCTAATGAAGCTTAACAGCTTTCAAACTAGAAATAATAAAAGTTTTTTTGGGTGTACTACTCCGTTTGAAAAGAACGGGTAAGGTTCTTTCCTGTGGTCTGAAGCAAACCTTTCAGCACTGGTGCTGGTCTTCCTTTAGTTATTACCTCTTGTTTTGATTGAAAGTACAGCTTTGCGAATTTTCTCAGCTTGGAAATGTAATCTTCCATTTTGATAAGGCGGATTGTAAAGGAAATATAAACAAGCACGAAGAAGATTGTAGGTAGCGCAAGAGTCTGTGGGCTCACAAGCGCCCTCTGCCTTGAGGCCAACTGTTCTCTGAACTCATCATTGAACTCCCATGATGCCCCCCATGCATCATGTCGCTGCCACCAGACCCCTCCCCAATAGCCGACGTAGGTCGCCACACAACATTATCCAGATTATGGCAAGGCAGAGCATATAATCAGAGTGTTTGAAAGCATTTTATTTGCGATATATAGAGGGACAGCGACACACTATTTGCATCGCATACAGTTTGTGAGGATTACACGATCCACCAAGAGGCACAGCAAAGCGCTGCCTCATCACGCATCTCCATGTATTTGAACGGGGCATATGGAAATTCCGCTATTCTTTATTGAAAAACATTTTAATATTGGATTCAAATGGTAAAAGGGTTTATAATGCATACCAGCTGACAAATATTAACATTTATTATATGTTATGATTAACTTTTTTTTTTTCTCTTCAAGGTTGACAGGGGAGGCTCTGCCTCCCCTGCCTGCACGTCACTGGGTGTACATAATGAAGTGGTCGACGAGTGTGCTTTGTTTTGTGGTAACACACTTGAGTCTGTAAAACTATTTATTTTGTAGGAATTCCCCTGATGAT